GGGGGGGGGGGGGGGGGGTTGGACCTTCGCGGCTGTCATCGTGCCTGGCGCAGTTTGGATACTCTACACTGGCCCCGTATGATTGCCGTAGGTCCGAAGCTTATATTTAAACAGTGCGAAACAGTCCGACAGAAAACCGCCATGTGGCAGTTTTAATAGGCGACTAGGGCGAGCCTGTCTTTTACTAAAGAAGTTTCATTTTGTCCTCTTGGTGTCCGGGAGTACGCGAGGCAGCAGGACTAAATTCCTAGTATCAGAACGAACATAAAAAATAATTAAAGATCTGAACCTTACCCTCTCTCTCGATCTTAGCTTTTCCTATGGGGATGAGGAAATCGGGACACATGGCCTCGTCGGATACGTCGAAGGAAACGGCATACATGAGTTCGTTCTCCAGATGCACAACTAAAAACAAAATTTGGCCACTCAAAAAATCGGTCTTTCAGAACAAACATTGTCAAACTGAAGACGAATTAATGGATATGAACATCAAAGCATTTGGATAGTCATGACCATCGGTACATATATTACGCATCGCAAATGCATAAAACTACGATACCAGAGCAACTAGGTGGATGCACGCACAATCACCTGAAAATGACGTGTGCAAGACGGTTATTCTGTGGTGATTTTAAGAAAGGTTTGAGAATCTGTTGTGAAAGCTGTATGTTAGTCTGCTGACATGATTCGAAGAGTCCTTTTATGGTGACCAGCCCCACTGAGGAAATGGCATGAGAGGACTGTGCAACAACTTAGAATTTTCCAGTTGTGGGAACGGACTGCAATGTGGAACCAGAAACACCACAACTGCAGATAGATAAACAACACATTTCACCCGAAGGGCTTCTCGAAGAAAAGCACCTGATGATTGTCAACTGGGACCAGACTGTCAGAGATAGTTCGACAAAAAACGAACCTGGGTCGGGGTCACGGATGGCTGTTTTTAGCAGACCTCGAGCATCCTCGCTGCTGTACGGAGCAAGAACTTTCAGCCCAGGACAGGCTGCATACCACGGGGCGTAATCCTGACTGTGTTGTGCAGCAACACCGGAAGCGGCACCATTTGGTCCACGAAAAACGATTGGGATGGTGACCTAGGCATGGTCAAAAGAATCAAGGACAGGTCTCATAAAAGCTTTAAATGGGGCACCAGAGGGAAAAAGGGGTGGGAGTAAAGGACGATCTGCTTCTCATAACAGCTTTTCGATCGACCAATGGCGGGAAACGGACCCTACACGTCTTTGATGAAAAGTTGCTACTTTTCCTCTGGGGCGCCTCTGCGAAGTATTCAAGCGTGGACGGCATATGGGGGAAACCGCAACTGCTGCATAGAGGAGGTGGTCGGTTGGACAAAATAAGTTCGGAGTAGCGGTGGCTATGCTTCTCCGAGTACGCCTGGTGCTGATGACGTTCGGACCAGTGATATACAAGAATACTACGCGAATTATGCTTGTGTGATGAATAAGTTCGGACATAACTAGCCTCCGTTTTTTGCTATCGTGAGGACTTCCGAGTACAGGTGTGTCCTAAGCAATATGCGAGTGCAGTAAGCGAATTTAATCCCGGTGTGACTCGCCATGTTTTGAAAATCTCCAAAAAATTCAGCATCAGTGACTGACGGAGCTTACATAAGCCGAATCTAGACAGAATTGTTATTGGGAATGCAGTTGTAAGCGTAACTTCGGACGATGGCATCACTCCAAGCCATCTACTTAAACGCCTGCAAGAAGCGGAGTCGAAACAACGATACGCATGCGGCGGTGGGACAGAATCATCCCCGGCACCCGTTAGGCCGACAAGACCGTAGTTATGACAGATACGACTACTGTTATGAGTTTCCGCGGCCAGTGCAAACGGCGAGTCGGTTAAGTTAGACTCAGGCACGACTGCATCCCTAAGCATGAACTGTTTCCATTTCTGGTACTAGAACCAAGGCACGAACATTTAAATAGGGGTTTCCTCAAAAAATCCGACAGAATTAAAAGAGGCAGGACTTGCCTTTCCGGCCGACATATAGTGGGTCTTGGCGGCGGAATTGATGACTTGATCAATTGCCTGCATGGCGAAATTAAAGGTCATGAATTCACAGATGGGTTTCGCGCCAGCCATTGCGGCGCCAACGGCGATACCGGCAAATCCCATCTAGAAAATCGATGAAGTGCCGGCGCTGCATTACCTCTGTAATTGGTGTATCGATGACGCGGTCGTCGCCAAAAGTTTTCCATAGATTTTTCGTGACCTAAACATGTTGACGAGGGAAATCAACTACTTTGTACGCGCCGTCATACTGAGCAACTTCTTCGCCAAGAATAAACACCGACTTATCGCGCTCTAACTCCTCCTTCATTGCGCTGTTCAAGGCATCTCGCACAGTCATTTTTGTGCCAAGCAAGGAGTGCGTGGTGGAGATTGTCCGTGCATTTTGAAGTACCTTACGGGCAAACTATTAAAGAAATGATCATAGAATCAAACGACCAAACCCGCGAAAAACCTATCGTCGAGCGCAACATAATCGCGAAAGTCGTTTGCCCGCGGGAATCAAAGTGAACAAATACAAAAGTGATGCAGTTCAACAAAGGAGTCAATAAAAAACCGACAACCCACTTATAACAGTATGATAGGTGGCCAGTCGAAGTTTTGTGACCACGAAGATAGAAATGCTCGTGATTCCTAGTCGGTTAACCGACTAGTGTTCAGAGGCGGTCTGCAAGAAATTGATCTTTAGGCAAGTTGGGGACAAAAACGACGTACAGGGCACCAAACAGCACAAAGGAATTCTGTATTTGAGTGGTGTTTTCAATGTATTTAGTCCTTAAAATTTGTGCATTACAATGTCTGCAATGAACTGAGCTAGGGTAAAGACCAACTTAGGCCCCGGATTAGGCTCTTTGACGGCAAGCGGCTCTGCAATAAGGCTGCGGTTCGAAAGGAAGCTTCAGCAAATTGGACTTGTCGTTTGATGTTTTCAACATCGTCGTACTCTTTAAACGTCTTCTTTTCCCAAACCTTGACATTCTGGTGGCATGTTATTGGAATATGACGGGTTTTTCATATCTGTAGTAATTTGCCGAGATAAAACCTAGAGGTCAACCTGAAACTGCAAATTTAATTCTATATAGTGGGCTGCCTAGCCATACTCTAAAGGATCAGTGATTGTGAAGGAGAATTTGCGGTACTGCTTTACCGCTAATACACCGAAAAATATGGTGCTGTGTTGAATCCAGTGTGCATATAAACTGAACTGAACTGAACAGCCACCCTTGATGTAATTAATTTATAGTGTCAAACGGCTGATGTGGAAACGAATACATGGTTATCTATACGTTAAAACAGAGCGGTCGGCTAACGCTATGGTGCGAGTTCTCGAAAATTCTGTAATTGTACCTACGGAGGAAATCGATCCGATCGGACCGAAGTGGTCTCTACCGGAAATACGCGTGCTTCCCACGATCGTTATATCTGCTGCGAGATGACTCGACCCCAAAAAAGCGGGCAAAGCCCAAAGGGGCCCAGCGGATATTGTTAACGATGAACAAATCTGTACCTAGTTTCGGCTTGAAACAACGTGTGCTTTTGTGTCCGTCTGCTGCTTGGCGTCATTGTTTTGTTGATTGCGCGCATGCACCTCAATCCTTTTTAGTCAAGTGCTGCGAAAAATTTATATTTTTGGTCATATCTATCCGGACGTAAATTCACCCGAGCGGCAAGCTTCAGTAACCCACTTCACCTTGGAACCTTTTTCGATTTTACCCAGGACATTCAGGCTGCGCCAGCTGATACTGGAGAGGGCTTCATTTTTCGTGAGTCAGCCCAAGTAGCAATAGATAGCGGGTAGATATACGGATAATAACTATTTATCGAGATACTAGACCTGGCATGTCACTGGTTGTCACTCTTATGCAATCTGGCCGTTGATTCGTTGCCGTTTGTATGT